ATAAGTTATCAAACATTTTTCCTCAATTAATAGCAAATTATTCTATATGTTATTATTAAATTACCAGCTTATTGACAGAAAGTGTCAATTTATTAATATGATAAATAACAATTTATTTGTTATGACATCCGTCTACTTTATTTTTATAAATTTTCGCAATTACCCCTTTACTGAACGATGACGCATCTATTTTTTTTACTAGAAAACTGTCAGTTTTATCGAAAAATTACAAGAGGTAAAAAAGTTGCGCAATAAATCAGTCTTCTCAATAAATATTTTTAAATAAATAATTTGCTTCATATAAAAAATTTCTAATAAAATATTGCAATGGGGTTGACTATTTCACTCTGTTATACAATAAGCCAATGATCGAAAAAATATTGAAAAGTTTTCTCTTTATTAGTAGGATACTCATACCATGTTTCGTGTCTCTAGCATTTCCCATGTTAAAGAAAAAAATTTAAATGTGAATTTCAATCCCCTACTCAAATATGGTATTTTTACTTCAATCCTCTTATTTTTGGCTCTACATTCACTGGTACCATTTTTGCTGCTAACTCATTTAAAAACACCCTGTATAAAACTATTCAAGTGGAAAACAAAACAGAATATTTTTTGGAATAGAGAAGAATTTTATAAACGTGAAGGAAAATAATATGACTTCTAAAAATACCTATTTAAGCTGCTCCCTTCGTTTAAATGTTAGATATATTATTTTTTTATAAAATTAATAAAAAAAAGCAAGGACTAAAAACATATTCTTAAATCATGAATCTAGGCCCAAAACATAATCTCAAATTTATAAATCTTAATCTAAAACGAACATACTCATTTTTTTCCAAACCTATGAGTATAAATCCATAAAAATTGTACTTTTGAGTGTGCAACCAATATTTTTGCATAACTTTAACTCAAATTCATAGGAAACCTGAAGACATAACCTCAAATGCAAAATAATTAAGTTAAAAATTTAGTAAAAAAATAATCAGTTATCATTAACTAAACTATTCACATTGTAATTAGTTGTATAAATTTAATACAGTACTTCATTAATTCTCAAAATATGTTACAAATAATTTGTCATGTTGATGTACCTAAATAAATTTAACAAGACAAGTCGGTTTAAACATATCATATACGAATTATTCTAAATAACGTTTGGTGTTCCATGTCACGTATATAGTGTTATATGGTGTACGACACATGTTTATACCAATAAACAGCGCAAATATGTTATATACATGGTTTAACTTATATTAACATCTAGTTTAACAGAAAAGTTTTTTAATTATTTTGCCGGCATAGTTATGCTGATAATTCAATTTTATATCTGCCAAAGTCGATATATTTTTATACATTTGACTTTCAGAATGTCTTTTACCCTGACAGGAACTCCAGCTCAAGAAAATCGCTTCAAAAATACAACATGCTACTTAAAAAAGGCTACCTTCATCAATGTTTACACTATTGGTACTGGGAAAGAAAATTTCCCAAATCTTGGCGTCACCAATATTAATGACTCGTTTACAATGAACAATGACAAACCGTTACACCCACGCTCGAGATAATGCGATCGCTGATTGATTGAATAGAATCTCGTGAAAATTTCCACCAATCACATCTAGTGAAACAGAATGTTGTGTTTTAATATAATCTTGATCTAATTGTTTTAATAATTTTTAATTTTACCTATATTTAATCGCCAACATGTTCTGTTCCAAACAGAATTACTGGTCAATTGGCTTGTAATAATTTATGATGGCTCTGCAGTTGTAGATGAGTGTCTGCAACTAGAAATTTAGGTAAAATAGGTATTTAAAATGCAATTAATGTTATTTCATCGTACGCCTGTACTAAACGTTATGTTCTTACAATTCAATTTACCTGGAACCTCTTTAGCAGAACATACCTATTCGGTTTGCTATTAAGCATGGCCAAAACAGGAAAAGACAACTTAGGTACATAACGGAAAATGATGTTTTGCACAATTACAGTAAGTACTACATTTCTGCCTCATAGTAATCGTATTGACCTCTGCGTCTTTAACATACTCTTTTGTCACTATGGAATAGATTTCTGACATACTTATATCCTATGCAAGGTCTGACTTTAAGTAATTTAGGGGTTATTACCCCTGACATAATTATCATTATTTTAATGAAATAAATGTAATTCGTTTTTAAAACTGCACATTCAACTTATTTCGACCAATAGTTTTGCAACAGCACGCGCTTGATCATTGTTTACACGATTGGAATAGCAAGTTGGCTTTACCCTGATATGTCAAAAGGGTGGTAGACAGAAAAAAAAACAAAAGGCAACGTTAAATCGGCGACACGAAATCTTTCAAATCCTGGTATCGAAATTTTAATATTTGATACAAAATAAACAACACATTCCATAGCTGGCTGTGAATGTAATATTAGGTGAAATTACACAGCCCCACAAAAAAAAAGTGGCAGGTCCGAAAGACAAGACCACGGTATCCATATGGTTTTGGGGTCGCAGAATCCGAATCCGGTGTCCGTTTAACACGGTTAGCTCTGGTTTAAGGTCAGTTCAAGGTCAAATATAGAAAATCAATTGTCAACAAACTAAACCTACCTATCTATATGTTTGCTATATCTAAATCCGGTGTCCATCTGACCCTATAAGATCTGGGTTAAAGTTAGTTCAAGGTCAAATGTAGAGAATCAATTGCCAACAAAGTAAACGTACATATCCATACGTTTTTGATGTTGCTGAATTCGTATCCGGCGTTCGTTTGACCCGACCAGGTCTGGGTTAAGGTCAAGGTCAAATATAGAAAATCAATTGCCAACAAAGTAAACCAATATATCTATACGTTGGAGTCGGATTCGGCGACCCCAAAAACGTATAGATAGATAGGTTTAGTTTATTGACAATTGATTTTCTACATTTGACCTTAAACTGACCTTAAACCAGAGCTAATCGCGTGAAACGGACACCGGATTTGGATTCGGCGACCCCAAAAACGTATAGATACATAAGTTTAGTTTGTTGACAATTGATTTTCTACATTTGATCTTGAATTGACCTTAAACCAGAGCTAATCGTCTCAAACGGACACCGGATTCGGATTCAGCGACCCCAAAACCATATGGATACCATGGTCTTGTCTTTCGGACCTGCCACTTTTTTTTGTGGGGCTGTGTTATCTTTTGATAGTTCTGAAAAATATATCTTTCTAACACCCTGTATAATGGTTACAATATTCACAATGTTAATTGATTAAATCAAATCTCACAGCAGATCTGGATGCGGCTAGCTGACTAACTAAAACCATAAGCGTTCAATATTCATCATTAGTGTTGTTTCTAAAATTTTTCACGTATCTTAAAATAAATATATATCTATGAATATTATAATACTGTTTAGAGAGGAAAAAGGTAAATAAAGGTTAAAACAGTGAATCTCGGTTTTGAAAAGATACTGCTTTTCTAGCTGCTTACAAAAACACACTGATAAAGAGGAAAAAATAGTTAACCACTCTTCAACAAACTTCCCTTATTTATGTTAAATTTAAATGCTACCAACTTTTTATACCTCCCGGACAAAAACTGGGATTGACAAAGAGCCGGAACTTTTATCACGTTCCTTGTTCGAGTTTATTATTCCCCCATATATTCGTCGAGGTAAATAAATATACTTTACCTGTTCTGCATTTATAGCAACTCATTGTCCAACCAAAACTCTAACTCGCGTCTCTGTGAGGAGAATTAACAACTATCTATTTTGTTATCAAACGCTTTGAGGGTACAGTGCATTAATTTCCATTTACATACGTACCGGTTGGTCCTTTAAAACATTTTAGTTACAATTCCTTATTCGAAAATATATAGCGTAGATTATTTTTACTTATCGTTTTCATGACGATACAATAAATATAAATAATTTTTTTCAAATCAGAAGTCGGATGTTTCAACTTGAAAATCAGAAGCGGGATATTTCAACTTAATATCAAATTTTAAATATTGCGTGCATGGTTCATTGATATTGATAGTAATAATTCCTTACGTGATAACCCAAGTGTGCAAGATTATGATGCATACTACAGGCGAACGGTGACGTTGAGGTGGCTGAAAATTTGCTGAATCCGGGAATACGTAGTTGGCTGCGGCTTCATTAGAATCTCAAAGAGTGAACAACGGCGTGACTGCAGAACACCTTCCAGCAAATTGGAACGAATTGGAATAAATGCGGCCTTAATGAAAAAGGAAAACGGAGAGGCAGAGCTAGCAAACTATTGTTAGGAAATATGCAGATGCAGGAAGCGTTTATTAAATAGAAATGTTGGGGAAACGTTCGTCGGTTATTGGTGTCTTGGGATGAGGAGATAAATTTGTCTGAAGTATTGCTGTTGGTTTATGAAAACCAAGAGAGTGTTTTTATTAAGGTTTTAATTTATTAGAAAGAATAACGTCTCGGTATCATATTTCAACGCTATAATATCAAACGGTTGCCATAAATAAGGATTAGCTATTAACTTGAAATCAGAAGTGGGATATTTCAACATAATATATAAAAAAGAATGACTAGTTTTATTTGACATAAATTATCAAGAAATTTAATGCCTCCGTTTCACCAATTTTTCATAGTATCAAGCTTATTGAATATTTAGTAATTGTTCAAATAGTTTAGTTAGTCTCGAGATACATTATTGAAATAACACAATTAGGGAAACTATAATTTATTTAGCCAATCAGAGGTATGATAAAAGCAAAATGAAGAAGAAGAGACCCTAAATGTGTAAATTTAAATTAAAAATGTAATTTTCGCATACAGCTTCTTCTTTTGCTCTCAAGAGGATTCAAAGTCATTGATTGCTATTACACTTTTTACATATCCTTATGTTATTTAGTTAGTTTAAGAAAAGCATCTTGTTGAAAAACACTAGACCATAAAATCTTTTTTAATATATTTAAATGTATTTACTGCAATATCACAGAAAAGTGTGTTGTCTAATAAATATTTTTTCCGTTTCAGAATGTCAGCCGACTCTCAAGAAGTAGGTAAGCATTTAATTTTGTCATGTATGTATACTTAAGGAGGTATATCGGGATCCGAGGGAAGTGAGGATCGCAGGGAGGTCCAATGCGTTTCTTATGGGACTAAAACCCCCTGCCAACTTGAAAAAATTATATTATATTGGAATTATTTGCGATAAACATTATCTATATAGCAAAGAAATCTACTCAATATGCACATAGCATTACATATTGAAAATTAACAACATAAAAATATTATATTTAAGTAGTTTTAAATTATTTTTAATGAACCCATAAACACTATGTAGATGTGGCAACAGCGCTAATAATCGAGTGCAGTTCTACACACTGCGAACCTACAGACCTCGGACATCGGAGATATTGCGCGTCAAATTCGGGTAAAGTTGTGTACGCGTTCAAAAATGTATTGTGTGTAAACTATGTAAAATATAATTATTATATATAGCAAATATATCGTATTATCCTCGCGAAGATTTATATCCTTTATTTAAAATCCGTAAATCATATGAACTGGTAAAACAACGAGAAAATAATTATGATAAAGTCAAAGTCAAAGAAAATGTTGGATGCAATTTTGAAGGTTCTGTGATAGAAATTACATTATTACTCACTGTTCGTGTTTTTCAGCTCAATTTTAGTAATGTTACAAAAGTTTTGCAACTATAACAAATTTTTTAAATGTAAAGTTTGCTGAGAAATATTTATGTTCCTTTGTTATTCCGTACAAATGCTTTTATCTCAAGTATTACTAATTATATTAATCAAGTAAAGAAAACTTTATGTAACCCTAAATATTGCTGGGTAATAATTACGATGTTTTTATAAACCATTAAATATATTAAAAGTATTTATCGACTGTATTTTTTATTCCAATAAATATATCACAGCTTCCTAGTCTTTTTTAATTAATCTAGTTTTTAAAAACATTACAGAAAATAATCTGTTGTGGATAATTTATTGTTGATAACAATGTACATGGGATTTAGGAAAAATGTATATGTTTGAAATCAATTTCGTTTTTATCAAGTCTTTCAAATGTATTCCCTCCTTGCTGTCAGCTGATTGCGACGTTGCCACATTAATCCTCAAGTCAGACAGAAATGCAATTATTGGTTTCTGTTTCTAATTAATACAGCTGTACTATGTTCAAAATTTCCATTAGTTTTACATCAAAAATAAGATAATACTGTACTATCTATGGAAAAGTTTTGTTTCACAATTTCTACATTTTTTTCTCAGTTATGGGCAAAAAAAGAGCCGCACCGTCCATCTTCGCCATATAAACCTATGTTAAAATGAACAACTTTCAACAATATCTGAAAATCTGGATTAAAACAAAAAATTTCAAAAAAATATCATGCACAGAGGGAGCACTGGGTAATACGCTATAAAAATTTCAAGTACATCTGTGCATTTGAGTAAACCCGATATACCTCCTTAATTTAAGTACAGGAGGATTATATTTTATTTGATTATTTCTTTAGAGTAAAAATCACATATACACAAGAGCCGTAGATAGTTTTTTGAACTTTTCAATGAAAAAAAAGGAACAATTGAAGATTGCCTTTAAAAAAATGTAAATTTACATACTTACCACACCTACCACATTAGATATTCCATTGTTGTTATTTCTGACAACCGTGATGATTTAAAAGCTAGTATTTTAATTTTTAATGCGATATTTTAATTATTTCTTTGAATTGGTTGTATTTCCTATATACAATGGAAAGCATTACGTATTAATATTATTAATATGGTTAATTAATATAATTAACTAATATTTAATGATTTGAATTGAGAAAGTGAAGTCAGTGAAACGAAAAAAATCTCCAAGTTTGTTCTTTACTGTTGTACAGTGGGAATGATAAAGGGCTGCAAGTTATTATATTTCGCTCAAAGTTAGCTTTGATGCTTTTACCCCTCTGAAATGGGGTTAATCTATCATCTCAATTAATATTGCCTTTGTTGTCGGCAAATCTGAATGCGACTGCCGCTTGCCGGCTTAATCTAGCTTTACACACTGATTAATTAAGAAGTATAAAAATACAAATCGGTTTTTCCGCCAACAACTTCAGCGTTCTAAAAAAAGAGAAAGCTTTTAGAGGCCTCCCTTCATCGATTTTTTCCCCTGTCCTGTCTTATCTCGCTGCTCGAGAAGAAATTATTTTAATTTAAATTCAGACTTTTTTACGTGTACGAAGGAGAGCATATTGAAAGTCGTGCGTATTGTTTTTGTTTTGCGATTGGGACAATCTGACCCCATCGAACCTATGACAGTAAATAATAAATAAACTAATTCCAAAAATTAAAGGGTCAAAAGAATTTCCGAAATTTTTCTGTGATTTTTGACAGACTGTATTTAGGTGAGAAATGGTCGTATAGGGAATTAAAGCTTTAAGATTTTAGTTTTTAGATCTTTAGGTCGAATTTTTTTAGGAGCTACGGTTAGGTATCATGCAAATCTAAGAAACAGCGCGACAAAAAAATTTTGCCAATTTTTTTTTTGTGTCCACGGATTTTTTTTAGCTAAGCCACTGCATGGACCAGATAGCTTGTTTATTCAGCTTCAATTTCATTTTTTTTTTAATTTCGATACGACCATTGTTCATCGAAATATCGGGACTTTTAATTGAAAAGGATCCTTTTGTCTTCAATCATCGATATCTCGATGACAAATTGTTGTACAGAGAATTGAAGGGCAGTTTCGAAAACTAGAATAAATTTCCTGAGATGCTGCCGCAACTTTTTGGAAAAAATATATTTTTTTCATCTTTACACGAATTTTAAAAAACAGGAAAAAAGGGTAATTTATGGTTTTTTAGAAAATTAACGGCTAAATTAGAAATATTCACGAAATGACTAATGTTAAGCTTGACTTCTACAGTTCGATATACCCAGAAGAACCCTGTGAAGTTTCATCTCGATCTAGCCAACCGTTTCTTTGTTTCAAACAGTCAAACTTTTGAAAAAAATTATAGGGGTTACCATTTTTAAAGCTTAAACACTTCATAATCAGGATTAAAATGGAAAAAAAAATTTGTTGAGGTTTTCTCACATTTTTGCAGCAAATAACGTTTAAATTGAAAAAAAAGCAAAAATTGAAATTATTTTCAAAGAAGAAAAAGGGTAGTTTTGATAAAAAACTGTTTTTTAAGTGATTACAGACTGCACAAAAATTAATTAGAAATTTGTCTCAAAGAAACGGTAAAAATCGGGGTCGAAATCTGGTTTGGGTTATCAACTTTAATTTTAATTTAATTAAAAATTGATTAACATAAGCATAGGAGGGAAAAGCCGAAGCTGTAAACAATTGGATTTTGTTTTCTTCAACGTCCTTAAGGTTTTACAAAAAAAAACAAAAATAAACTTCAAAATTTTGAAAAAATTAATCGTTATTTGCGGTAAAAATGTGAGAAAACCTCAAAAACAATTTTTTTTCCATTTTAATCATGATTATAAAGTGTTTAAGCTCAAAAAACGTGACCCTTTAATTTGTTCAAAAGTTTGACTGTTTGAAACAAATAAACGGTTCGCTATATCGAGATGAAACTTTACAGGGTTCTTCTGGGTATATCAAACTGTAAAAGTCATGCTTAACATTAGTCATTTCGTGATGTCTAGCAAGAGAAAAAAGTTATGAACAAAACAAATTTTGAGTTCTAGGTAAAGTGCCCTCTAGCAGCGCATAATGAAACCTTTAGTTAACTGGTCCGATCTACTTACAAAGTGGATGTGCCAAATGAGAGAATAATCGAACTTGAATTAAGTAATTTATTTAAATAAAATCGCCACGGTAGCACAGTCGGTCGAGAGTGCGGTGGCAAGCATTTCTCGGCTAGGCTTCCTACTCTGGTCCGGGTTCGATCCCCGGTGTTGGCACTGGCAATGTCGATGGATAATGGGTGTTTGTCCGCGTTTTTTGGGGTGTAGCCCCCTTCCGCACAAGCCTTTGGCTTTGGATATGGGGGTTGTCTCATTTCTGTGGTGTGTTTTATGTTTTATGTTTTATGTTTTATGTTTTATGTTTTATGTTTTTATGTTTAAAAAAATAAAAAAAAATAACTGACAAGGTGTAGCTTGCAAACAATTGACAACTCGAAACAAATTTTCTTTACATACTGCTATTATTTTAATCCGTAGAATCACCTCCTGGAGTTTCTTGGCGGACTTTCAGAAGACCACGCTGAATTATCCACATTTTTAACACATTTAGTACAATAACACAGTAATTTTTTACAAACCATTTTTATTGCTGTAGAAAATTATTAATTAATTATCTATACCAAATATATTTTCGATTTGATTATTTTAAATTTTTATAGAGATCCCATGTAGGTATATTAAAATTAAAATTAACAACTGTACTAAAAGACGAGAAACTAATTCTGATGTAAATAATAAAGAAAGTTAGTCATTAAATATTTATTTAAAAATGTATTTGTAATTTTGAATCAAATAACTTTCACAATCTCTTTCAAAGGATGCAGATAATAAAATATATCTGTGAGCTGGTTTATTTACCTTTGAAGTATAAGGTCGCAATATAATTCTTTATGCGACTGAGGAAAAATAATAGTTTTCTCTGAAGAACAGAACTCGTAACGGCTACTAAAAATGTCAGTCAGGATTTTAAGGGTCTCTCCTTAATTACCAACATTTTAAATCACTGTCGGAATAGAAATAATCTTCGCTCCAATTTCAAACATTACATTTTCAGTCGTTGTTCAACGTAAATTGACCAAAACATTATTATTCCATTTGGGTTACAAAATCCTGACATTTCTCGTGAATAATGCATTGAAAGAAGCCTACCATATAATATAAAGTGCGACAGGAAATCGACCGCCATATGGACTTACTATCCTCATCCTTTTGAATTCTGTGACTATAAATACAGGATTAATTTAAAATGAATCGAGTATTTCGTCGTGGGGTTATCTTGGTACATGCAACAAAGGTGAGAAAATAAATAATTTAACATCCGTACATTGTGTTTTCATGAT